CTCTGAGCCTCAGCAGCACCACTCCAACCAAACCCACAGCCCCCAGAGGATTCCCACTCAGCAACCCTGCACAGGGGTCGCTCGGGTTGCCCATCTCTGGGAACAGAGAGCCTCATCTTTCTCCCACGGAGCAGCTGGTGGGTTTGAACCGCTTACCCGATAGCACCACCAGGACTTCTAGTTGCACCACCAACTCACTGCCATTGCGTCGGTGCGGTGACTGGCTTCTAGTCAACGGGGCCCTGGGGTTCCAGGTTGATCAGGGTCCTTGGATGCAGCTGCCCTGGAGTCAGATGGGGGGCTGAGATCTGAGATCGGGACAGCTCTCCTGCCCCCTGGAGCTCAGGGCTCTCTGTCCCATGAGGATCTCACAGTTCACACTCCGATGAGATTCCACTGGGGAAGGTGCTGCCCCTTCAGGCAGAATGGGCAGTTAGTTGCTTGGTCTTTGGAGGATGAAGGCTCCGTCAGGGGAATAGTAACAAGAGAATGGTCCTCCCTAAGGGCTAAGCACATGAAACGTGGCTTTGGATCAGAATGTGAGTCTAAGATAGCCCCAGGAGCTTGGTAGGATTATTCCCACTTCAGAGAGGCAGAAACCGCTCAGAGAGGACCAGCCACGTGCCCGAGGACTCTCGTGGCAGCACCTTGGTTTTGCTTGGGGTTTCCGGGGCCAGCCCCTGGGGCCCCTCTAGAGGTAGAGGGGCCTCGGTCTGGCATGGGCAGTGGCCATGGGTGACCTACCTGCCGCTCTTCCCTTCTCGTGCCCCAGGCTGCGGTGGCAACACACCCCCTCCCTGAAGGTGACCAATGAGCCCATCCTGGCCTTCACGAAGGGAAGTCCTGAGCGAGAGGCGCTGCAAAAGGTAATGGGGGTGTGGGGGGTGGATAGGGGGTGCCTATGGGGCATGCAACGGGTGGAGGCACAGGGCAGAGGCAGCCCCTAGTCTGCTCCATGCTCACCCCATCACCTCTTCTACCCATGCTCCCCACCTTGAGCTAAAGTGGGGTGAGGGGGACAGGCTGGGAACAGCAGGGTTGCAACCTGCAGCCACATCCGGTCACAGTCACAGGCCCGCGTATGCCAGTCTACCGAAGTGGTGGTGTTTTCCTTTTCCGTCTTTTGTATGACGGTCAATCGTCCAACACCTGCCAATTCAGAAGTTTGCACAGGTGGAATTTAGCGTGGTCAGTGGCATCCCCAGAAGTGCCAGCGTTTTAAAACTTGGGTGATGGCACATGCCATTCAGATGCCGCTGCCGACAGTGGTGCCACGGTGGTGACCACGGCCTGTGCCGTGCTGTCCGAGTGGAGGACAGGCTCTCGTTGACCAAACACAGACCAGGCTTGCTGCCCAGCCCTCATCAGTGGCCCTGCCCGGCGCCTGCCTTTCTGACTGGACCTCAGGCTTTTGCATGGGGGAGGGGTGTCACTCCGAGTTGGAATTGACTTGACGGTTGTTGAGTTTTGGGTGTGGCGAGAGGGGACCCCATGCTCTTGTCTCTCTCCCCAGGCCTTGAAGGACCTCAAAGGCCAGACGGAAGCCATCCCATGCGTGGTGGGGGGCGAGGAGGTGTGGACCTCGGATGTGCGGTACCAGGTGTCGGTAAGTGTGGTGGGTGGGCAGAGCCGGGCCTCTGTCCCCTG